CAGAGCCTGGTTGTACGGCTTTCAAATACGGGGCAGTGGCCTGGCTCGAGTTGCCCCCATATATACACACCATTGGCCTTGGATCTGGGAGCCAACACTGTTGGGAGGTGCTCAGGCTTGTGCAGGGTACAGTGGAGGCAGATGAGGACTCCTGAACTGGAACAGCTGGATTCCCATCCCTGCTTACCTGTCACTGCATAGTCACCCCTTTGGGTTGAGCCTCTGGTGCGGAGTACCCATTAAGGCTTTGAAATGAGAGACGTTAGCCACATAGCGGTCCTTTCCGCACTAGACCTTAAATCCTGGTTCAACCGTGTCCCCGAACTTACATTCTACCCTACACGCAAGTTCACCCCTGTAATTATCTTGGGATATTTTTTGTTTCCTCATTGCATTGAGGTCACCCTGGTTTCGCCCCACACTTGTCCCAGGATAAACAGATGCTGTTATAACCAGGGATAAATGCAAGGTATTGTGTCGCGAGTTGAACTCTGATAAAACCAGGGATGAGATCCAAGTGCGGAAAGGACCAGCATGGACTTTTCTCTCCCCCTTGGGTGTTAGTTCTAAATGCTCCCTTGGTGGTGCTAAGTGCCCTCTCCCACTGCCAAAGTGCAGTGCTTTGCAATCAAGTGTGCATGGCAGAGATCTCTGAGACAAGGTCTCATGCTGCGCATCCTCCCTACTGATCCTGGCAGCCTGGCTGCAGTTTACATAGTGTGTGGTTGGGGGGGGTGAGTTCAGAGGAGGGGATTTGGCTGCCACTAGGTTGCAGTTGTAACTGGCATCCTGTGCTCTGCCTGGGCTTTTGGTGGGACCTGTATAGGGGTGTTTGGTCTGTCCCACTGTATGTGCGCCTACCGGCTGCACTGTGGTTTTTCTGGTGTATCTTTCTGCCAGTTATTGGGGGAGGGACATGGCCAGGGTGGAGAAGCTTAGGGAGCCAACTAATGCCTGCCATGCTCCTGGTCCACCCCTTTCCTTGCTGATGCAATGGCTTGCACCATTGTTGCTCTGCAGTGTTTCCACACTGGTGCCTGGTTGCAGCACAGTGCCCACAAGGTGCTCTGCCAGCGTATCTTGGAGATACATCTGTGGAGTGCCTCATCAGCTCCCTGTGCACTCCACCACCCAATTGTGCTGTTAATATAATTAAGACTTGACACAGCTCCGTTTTTGAACAAAATATGCGCATGTTTCTTCTAATCCTATTTCAATATAGACTTGACTTCTAGTTTGTGTGTGACCATTAAACCAACTTTTTTACAAAAAATCTTCAAGCTCTTTGGAGTTCAGACCAAAATTCTCTGATTTTTACCTGTAATGATTCTTGTTGTACATAAGGTAAAAGGTACTTGTTTTCTTCTGTTATTTTTTTTTAATGGAGCCTTCCTTCCTTCCTTCCTTCCTTCCTTCCTTCCTTCCTTCCTTCCTTCCTTCCTTCCTTCCTTCTCAAGTAAACAAGAGGTTAAACCCCGTGAGTCCCCAGGGTGAGTGTGGACAAGAACCAGACTGCTATTTATATAATAATATTAAATTTATTCAAAAGTATCAAGGAAGGAAAAATAGTTATTGCCAGCAATTTACTCAGAAATCATACAGAACAAAAAACAATAAAGCTAGTTGCACTACCTAAGAGTGTTCCAAGTTGTGTTAGTTGGCACAAACCTCAGTTTCAATAGGAAGGCTGCAAATCAGCGCTGTCTATGTCTTTAGCAATTGCAAAGCATAGTGTAGACCTCTAGGTCATGAAAACCCCCCCCCCCCCAATCCAGCATCTTCTATTTTATGGATAAATCTGGTCATTCTCCCAGAAAGAGAGATGCCATTGAAAAATAATTTTGGAAGGCTGGGCTAATCTAATGCATTATTCTTAATGTTACAGTCCCAAAAGTAAATACATCTTAACAAAAACAATACAAGCACATAAGAATGCTAATGCCAAATAAGCTGGGAAGATGCTCCCAAAGGAGACCACTCTGCTGCTTCATCCATGTCTACAGAAAAGCAAGCCTCTTATGAACCTAGTATGCATCTTTAAGAATGTAGGAACTTTGATGGATTACACCATCTAGCCCAGCATCCGGTCTCACACAGTGGCCAATCAGTTCCTCTGGAGACTCAGCAACAGAGCACAGAGGCTGGGGCCTTCCCCTGATGTTCCCTCTTGCACTTCTATTCGGAGGTTTACTGTCTCTGAATGTGGAGAGCCAGTGTGGTGTAGTAAGTGGCAGACTCTTAATCTGGAGAACTGGGTTTGAGTCCCCACTCCTCCAGATGCAGCCAGCTGGGTGACCTTGGATCAGCCACAGTTCTCTCAGAGCTGTTCTCTCAAGAGCAGTTGTCTCAGAGCTCTCTCAGCCCCACCTACTTCACAGGGTGTCTGCTGTGGGGAGAGGAAGGAAAGACAATTGTAAGCCGCTTTGAGACTCCTTTGGGTAGAGAAAAGTGGGGTATAAAAAGAAACACTTCTTCTTATTCACCACAACCATGCGAGTAGGCAACTTGCTCTCCTATTCCTTTACCACAGAGTAAAGACAGTGACCTTGTTCCTTAAGGATGACATTGAGCTGGTCGGTAGTTCAGCAGTTCGAGACCCGAGTGTGCCGCATGACTGAGTGAGCTCTCGTCTCTAGTTCCAGCTCCTGCCAACCTAGCAGTTCAAAAACAAGAAATTGCAAATAGATAAATAGGTACCGCTTCGGTGAGAAGGTAACAGCATTCCGTGTGCCTTGGTGTTTAGTCATGCTGGCCACATGACCACGGAAATCTCTTCGGACAACGCTGGCTCTTCGGCCTTGAAACGGAGATGAGCACCGCAACCGTAGAGTTGGATTCGACTGGCTTTCAAGCAAGGGAACCTTTACCTTTTAAAGACAGTCATCTTGTTCCTTAAGGATGACATTGGAATGGTACTAAAAGGAATCTTGACTATAGGAATCCAGTTCTCCATACTGTCTGCTGAGGTCTGATTCCATTCATCATCCTTATACTAATAGCCAAGTTGCCCCCTCCGTGCGGATATCTATATTTGCACTTCGGGGGCACTTGGGGGGCAGGGAGAGGTTTGTGCACACGTGGGGCGGTCCCCACGTGTGCACAAAAATCGATAACCTTTGAAAAAATATCTGGGGGATATTAAAATCCCCCCAAAACGAAAAGAGCGTTCCCTGCGCATGCCGCCGCCGTTTGGAAGGAGAGAAGCGAGCGGCGAGCAGGGGGTGGCCTCCCGCAGCGACCCTTCCCCGCCTGCCGTCTCTCTCACTCGCCATGGCTGGAAACGACTGGAAATGGCGCCAGAGGGAGGCCCGTCGTCGGGCAGAAGCTGCGCTCCCTCACACAGCGGCGGCGGCTGAGGCGGTGCGAGAAAGAGCAGAGTCGGGCAGTTCTGGCGGCCGCGGCGTGGAGGGGAGATGGTGGCGATGCTAAGGGGGAGGAAGGAGGCCGGCCAAGCACCGCCCCTTGCAAGATGGTGCCCACCACGGGCCCTCAGCCGACTGGGTAAGCGCTCGGTCGGGGCTCCGCTTTGTGATGGCGACATGCGGTGGCGTGTGGTTGTCATGGCGTGGTTCTCTCGCCTCCTTTTAGGTAAGCGCTCAGTCGGGGCTCCGCTTTGTGATGGCGAGCAGGGAGCCGGGAGGGGGGGCAGAGTGCCGAGGCGAGATTGAAAACGAGTCTCAGGGAAAGGCGATGTTTTTGCTGTGCACTTTCCCCCCCTCTCCAGCGTGCTTTCAACCACAGAGCTGGATCTCCCCACC